TGTTTTGATTTCAGTTATAGGTATTAGGTGACCTGCTGGGCTTTGTAAAGCTCATTATATGTGGTTGATATTTTCAGGTCAGGGCAAGGGAGCAGAGGATAGGAATTGATCCAGATCTTCAGGTTTTTGTCTTTTGATTGATTTTGATTCTTTTGTACTCAGGATAGATTTCAGAACTGATGATTGTAGTGTAGTTCCTGAGTATTGTACATGACCTTTTGAGTTATAGATCGACTTGTATATTGATGTTTTAAATTTTATAGATGTTTGATAGACTGGTTAATTGAAGGTTTTAGATAACTCTGGTAAATTGTTTGAGAAATTGATTGACATTCTTTCCAAGTTAGATCTTGGGGCATCACACTATTAGACATGACAATAACAATAAATCATTACAGTGATAGTGAATCAGTATAATGGATGTAGCTTAGTAATCATATTGGACAAATAAGGATTTCTAGCTTAAGCTATGTTTTTCCAGTAATCAGTAAATAAGTAATCATTTGATCAGTAAATAGAAACGTCACTTTTTGTCCATCGACACTGTAATAATCTCCTTATAAAATATATAAAAGTATAAAATCATTAGATATTAAAATAATTAAAAACTGAAAGCAGAATATTATTGAATAAAATAATAAGTATAGAAAATAAAAAAAAGTAATTTTAGTATCCTTGAATACGCGAAATTATTTTTTCATATTTTTTAGTATGAAAAAATAAATTTTGTATTTACTCACTTTTTAATTTTGTTCTGCCTAACCTCCTTCTCGTAATTACATATTAATTAAGATACATTTAAAAATTTACTCATTTCAATTTAATTATAAATTCTAATATAAGAACTAGAGTAGGATTGTAAACGAACCAAGCCGAGTCGAGCATCAGCTTGATCATATTCGTGTTCGTTTATTATCAGCTTGCTCATGTTCGTTCAAGTCCGATTCGAGGTGTTATGTTCATGTTCAAGCTTGGTTCATTAAGTTGACGGGTGTTCATGTTCAGTTCGTTTTGTGCTTATCGAGCTCTAAACAAACGAGTCTTATCAAACTATAAACGAGTCTTACAAGCTTTATCGAGCATGCTAACAAATATTCACGCGAATGTTTCTAACAATTGTCTTAAACTACCAAACGAGTCTATTCACTCACATTTTATTTTTATTATTATGCTTCTTATCTAACAAGAATCAATAATCCATCTTCTTATCAAACAAGAATCAAGCTTATTATCAAGCTCCTAATGAGCTTCTTATCGAGCATATTCACGAGCTTCGGATGATATTGTCCACGAACATAATGAGCTGAATACATACTTATTCAAATTTGTTTATTAAAGCATTTAGTATTTAGGAAAATACTCAATATTATTTAATTAAAATATCATGAACAAATTTTTATGAGTGGAGCCTTGAGTAGTTTGTTAAACACTCCGTTCTTCTTCTACAGCTTTAAATTAGGAGAAATTATGTGCTGATACCGAATTATTCGGAGATGAATCAGAGCGTACACAACGGGTACACAGCCACGACACAGTAAAGAAGTGACATAGCACAGCACACAGAAAAGAAGTGACATAGCACAGCACACCGAATCATCTAGTACACAACGGGTACACAGCCACGACACAGAAAAGAAGTGACATAACACAGCACACAGAAAAGAAGTGACATAGCACAGACGGCTTCTGTATCCGCTTTGAATAATTTCACTTAAACTAGAGCGTTGAAAAATAGAAATTAGAGAACAGTCTACAGGGAGCGAGGGAGAGAGAGAGAGAGAGATGGAGGCCAGGAAGGTTTGCGTAACAGGAGCAGGAGGTTACATAGCTTCATGGTTGGTGAAGCTTCTTCTATCTGAAGGATACAAGGTCAACGGAACAGTTCGAGATCCAAGTAGTAAATCTCTTTTTTTTTTTCCTTATTTATATTCACTTTGTTGATCTTTATTTCCCTTGTTTTGCTCTATTTTCCTTTTTTTTTAATCCAAAAAAAAAATCGTAGATATTGAAAGTATCTAAATCCCAAATAAAAAAGAAAGAAAAGATCCTAAAAAAATCGTTCTTTGCTGATTTTAGGCGATGAGAAGAATGGCCACTTGAAGAAACTCGACAAGGCTTCAGAAAACCTTCAACTCTACAAGGCAGATGTTCTTCAGTATGATGGTTTATTATCAGCAATTCAAGGTTGTGAGGGAGTCTTTCATGTAGCCAGTCCTGTACCTGAATTCCATGGGGTTCTCATTAATCCAGAGGCAGTTTCTCCTACTTAACACTCAAATATTATCATTTCATTTTATTCTAATTGATGATCGATATCCTATAAACCCTAATTTTGTTGTCGTATTTGTCACCAAATTGCAGGCTGAGGTGATCGCTCCTGCTCTCACTGGAACCATCAATGTACTGAAAGCCTGCTCAGAGGCAGGAATCAAGCGAGTTATTGTTGTTTCATCATGTGTTACTGTCTTTATGAATTCAAAGTGGCCCAAGGATAAGGTCATGGATGAGTCTTCTTGGTCAGAACAAGATTTGATGAGGAAAATTGAGGTAATCTAGTCTGCCTTGAATCTAATTACATTTTATAATTAAAGAACATATTGCAGTAAAAGTACAAGTACTAGCAATTGTCTTTCACTCATAAGCTTTAATTTTTTACTGTATTTGTTTGATCCAAATTCCTACAAAAATTACTTATAAATCATTAAGAACAATATTTTCTTAGTATTAAAGTTTGTAATCAATTACTTAGCATATTCTTAGGTATTTATTGAGGAAGTATCAATGTATATCAAACATTAGAAACAGATGTAAATGACAAGAGAATACAACAACAACAACAACAACAACAACAACATCAAGCCTTTGTCCCACTACGTGGGGTCGGCTACATGAATTATTTTTCGCCATTAAAGGATTCGTGTCATGATTATTTGATAAATTTTACGCTGGTTGTCAACTACCTAACGCAACATTTCACTTTTCTCATCCAGGACTTGAGACCTGGCAACGACAGTGTAAATGAAAAGAGAATTTCAATTATAAAAATGTGACTAAAGTTTGGATCTTAATTTATTTGATGTTTACAGCATTGGTATGGCCTTTCAAAGACACTAGCAGAAAGAGCTGCATGGGAGCATGCAGAGAAGACTGGACTGAACCTGATTACTGTTTGTCCATCAATGGTTTATGGACCACAATTGCAGACCACTGTCAATGCTAGTAGCTTGATGCTTCTTACTATTGTGAAAGGTCTAAGCCACTTGAACATTTTTTTTTACTTTCATAGACACGAAAGTATTGAAAATAGCATGAAACTCTCATTGCTTTCTTACTATTTGTTATGCAAATGCTTTTAAACAGCCTGCAGTTTCTTGCTATAATATTTTGGTAGATCTGCAACTTCTCTCTGCAAAAGGACCCTATCCACAGCCTCCTAACAGCTCATTTAATCTCAGCCGTTGGTTCACTTCTACGTAATCATTCTTCTTTGTTATAAAGGCAGGCCCTGTAGACACTTGATATGCATATAGAAATTTAGGCTTCGTTTGGGACGGCTTTGTTACTGTTTTCTGAAGCAGGTTTTTAGTACATATTTTTTTTAGTTTAAGAAATTTTTGTATTAAAAAGTTTCTTTTTAAATCAGTAAGAAAGCCGTCCCAAACGAAGCCTTAATCCCTTGTTGATAGCTTTACCAGTATACATTCCATCTTCCTCTACTCTTCATTCTCTATTTTCTACATTGCTGTGTGTGTTTCACAACAGCAGCACCGTTTGCCTCCCAGCTTTCAAGAGCTTTATGACAATCTTTTTTTGGGAAGTTCTCTTTTCTACCACAATGAATGAGAACATATTTATATATTTGTTGGATATGACTCCTCTATTTATAACATTACAGTATTTTGAATTGGCATAGTATTATTTTCATAGTAAAACTGCTAATTATTTCTTCATTATGCATATATTACCTACTTTATACCAGCAAATTTTCTTTATTGTTTTTACAGATAATTAGGAGAATGTGAAATTGCTACTGATAAATTGATTTGAGGAAACTAAGAAAGAAACCTTAAATTTCAAACAACTCATGCATTTTTTTAAGCTTATTCATTAATTTGCTTATGCACACAGGAGCATCAGAACCAATGAAGAACAAACTGTGGTCCTTTGTAGATGTAAGAGATGTGGCTGATGCTTTGCTTCTAGTATATGAGGCTGCAGAGGCTTCAGGAAGATATATTTGTGCTGCTCATTCTACTTATCTCCATGACCTTATCAGCAAGCTTAAGAGTATTTATCCGAACTACAAATACCAACAGAAGTAAGATTTTGTTTAAGATGTCGTTTTTAGTATCAAAATATGTGCAAAAACAAAAAAAAAATCCTCTGAAACTGCTCACTACCATAATAAATGATTGTTCAGTGAACCATAACAAAATGCAATTCTACTAATATTTCACTCCATTTATGGCCAGTTTCACAGAGCTACAGCCAGAATGTCGACTTTCTTCAGATAAATTAAAGACGCTGGGCTGGAAAACTAGAGCTTTTGAAGAAACGCTTATTGATTCTATTGAATTCTACCAGCAAGCTGGTCTTCTTGAGAAGTAGCTTTTGCTTCTTACAATGGAAACGATATTATGAGTGTAATAATGTTAGGGATTAAGGTTTTCGTTGGGACGGCTTTCTTTCTGTTTCTTAAAGTGATTTTTTTGTTAAAAAAATTTAATTCTTGTGCTAAAACGTTGCTTTAAGAAGCAGTAAGAAAGTTGTCCCAAATGAAATCTAAATTATATTTAATTTTGATACTCTAGAAGTAGCTTTTTCTTTTTACAATGGAAAATCACACAGCAATAGACGAGGAAGATGGTGAAGATTAATCTAAGTGAGTTCAGATTTATTTTCTGCACTTTGATTTCTGTGGTGAATCTTAGTTTTTGTTTTAAGATTGTGTTTTGATCGAAAGATCTTTTAAAATACCAATTCAACTCCCCTTATTCTTGATTTTCAGCTAAAGGAATTTAATATCATCGTTACCATTAGGAAGCCAAGATCATTTATCACATTGCTCGATCTAGTTGTTCTCACAAATTGTAGCATCATTCAAAATTTTTGAGTGTGATGAGCTTTATTAAGAAGGTGATAGCTGAGGGGTTGATTTTCCAAATTTTGAAAAAAAAAAATTCTTGTTTAACTTTGAGAGAGGAGATGGCCTTAAAGATGTAAGACAAGGACTAAAAATTGGAATCCTTAAAAGAAAACTTAATATTATTAAATTTATTACAAAAGGTAAAAATAGGAGATCCTCCAACAGGAATGCTCCAAGCTATGAAAATTGTAATAACTCAAAAATATAAAAATTAATTTTAAAAGGTAAAGATTTGAAATGTTTGAGCTCATTTTCATATATTTGGAAATATTTTAATGCTTAAAAATGGTTGCATGTGTTTTATAATGAGTTCTAAGGATTTGGTGTGAATTTTGATAAAATTTCAAACATATGACTATTTATCTGCCCCATTGTTGGGTATTCGAGCATCTCGACAGTATTACAGTACAAGTTGTCAAACAGTGACATTGTAGCAATTTGGCCTCTGAAATTTGAAAAAAAATGAACTAGTGCCGCAGTACTCATGTGACGTCCCATAATCTAATTTGAACAAATTATTTCTTTTATTTTTAAATAAATAATATATATTATCCAATTATTCTATATCAGTATCTTAATCACATACTCAATATGTCACACTAATCAAATAAAATGTCATGGCTTAATTGATATTTTTCTAGTATCGAATCAATTTCAGCAAGTCGTTGGTTTAGTAAACAGAGTCGTTACTCTTTGCCCGTTGACATAGTACTTATTTCCTTATAACTTCTAGTTAGAGTATCATGTGAATCAGTCGAAAATAAGATTAAATCATATATTTAAAAGAAAGCATGTCAGCCCACCATCATGTATAGATCAATCAATTTCTAGCCAACGTCAGTGAATAATCAGTCTTTACTTTTTTTTTTCTCCACACATTATTATCACAGTGCTATAATAATAATAATATAGCTACCAGTTATTTCTCAACCACATATCCACACTTATTTAAATGCATTGCAATAAATAAAGCATAATTAGGCTAAATTAAGAAAGTGTCAAAATATCATAATGGTATCATCCCGGCAAATCTCCCGTTTGGGGACTGGGCCTTCCCACCACGCTAAGAAAATCATGTATGTTAGATGTATGTGGACACCGCGGCCGTGATCTTCAATCCCACTATGCCAAGAAAGATGTGTATGAATATTCAGGGTACTTGCTTAAAAATGCACAATTTTTCTAGTCAGCACTGAGGTGCGTAAGGATACTTAAAGTTGTCACGGTCATGCTAAGAAAAGCGTATACAGGGCCTACATGCCTCATCGCAGGTAGCGCTCTGGGTTACCTCCTACCACACTAAGAAAAACGTGTATAGGTTGTTGCCTGGCGCGTCACACGCGCCATGGACAAGGTTTGGACCTTTATACCTGTGTAGGGGTCAATGGCGTTGGCTGTATCGAGGTGACGACGACTGTGTGGGGACAACGACAATTGATCTTAAAAAAAAAATCTAAATTTCATCATTAAAAACTTTTTTCCAATAACTTTCATTTAGAAAAATAACATAATTGATCATAAAAACAAATTAATTTGATGATTTGAAAACCAAGTGTCTAAATTGATTATAAAATCATTGCATGAAAAAACAACTTAACTATTCTTATCTTAAAAAATATCTTTTCACCATAATTTAAAAAAAAATAATAAGAAAACAGCAAAAAACTAATAACCCAACAAAAAATATGATTATCATCCAAAAAGTAAAGCAGCAAAACAAATCCTAAATTACACAAAAAATATGAACCACATAAATTGCACGCAAAGAATTCCTAAAATCCAAATCTTGTCCATATTAAATGAACCACATTCCTTTAAATTTTTTTGGGGTAATTTTGTAATATCAAAATATTTAATATCCTCAAAATAAAAGATATGGCACACGTGTGGCACTAACCAACATGTCATTGGCACATTTAATTAAAATAAATAAATAAACAATACAAATTATGAATTAACTAAAATAATAATGATAAATTTCAAATTTTTATCAAGAATATCATATCTATATCAAAGCATTATAGATTTAAAAAACCCTCCATTAAAATATTACTTATTATTACGATTAAAAAAACTATGGGCAGATGTTTCTTATAAAGGGCATATATGTAATATATAAATGTCCCATGATGAAAAAAAAATTAGCACATCATATCCTCAACAAATTTCAGTCGGTATAGATGTAATTTTATTCAGTAATGCGCAAAATTAAATTTACCAATACCTTCGAAATGAGAATTACACTCATTTTCAAGCTATCAACTCATTATCATAGATCAATTAATTTAAAAAAAAAATGAGGCCTATCTCATTTCTGCAGAACTCAATGAAATGCAGGACAAAAATATTCCTTCCATAGCCATCAAAAATGGAATTTATTTGCGAACAAATTCTTCTAAGTTCTTCAACCATGTTTGATACTCTCTTTCATCCTTCTTCATCATATATGCAGACAAGAAACCGTAGAGAGAATCTCTGATTCCCCTCACTTTGAGATACTGGTGGAGAGCTTTCTGTAAGCTTTCGTCCAAATCTCTGAAACAATCAATGGAGGGAGAGAGGAAGTCAATATTTTCTTTTTTAAAGGAGAAAATATTGCAAGAAAAGACTTTGACTGCTAAATGAAAAGAAAATTTTTTGAATTCAGAATGGATAATTTGATAGAATTCAGGATGAGAGAACTCACGAAAATTCAGGACCTTCATAAGTTCCCTGACAATCAGAATCATCGGGATTTTTCCTTGCCATGTTTTCTATTTCAAGCTCTTCAGAATTGAGATTGCAAGCAAATTCCAAGATAGGGACTTCTTCTCCTTTGTCAATTGTTACATGCAAAGAAATGCTTGGCTTGGATGCATTTTCCTGATCATCTTCATCATCTTCATCATCTTCTTCTTCATCATCCCCGACATCCAGATTCATATAAACTAAGATTTGGATGTTCTCACCAGCAAAGTCTCTCTTGAGAGTAATTGTGTTGTCACCAGGATTATCAAGGATTTCAAAAGGAAATCCTTCAGGTACATCAAGCTCCTGCAAATAGAAAATTCCAATAGTGAAAGAGTGCAAACTGTTATTATAGGCAAGAAAATTCATGAGGGGAAAAAATAGGCATAAAATGCAATGGATTTAGTAGTGTTGGCATATCCAGGAAGGTTACAATCCTAGAATCAATTAGCTGGGAATTAAAAAAATCCATGGTATTTATTTCCTTAATGGAATGATTTCTTCCGTACTACTCTTGAGAGAAAAAAGAGGAAGAGGGTGAGAGATAACAACCGCATAATTTCAAATAATTTCAAGGATAAATAGAAAAAAATAAAGGAATAAAATGAAAAAAAAATGAAAAATTGCAAGCTCCTATTGTCATTAGAGTTTAATGTTTAGTATTGTGATAATCAATAATAAGCAAACATCTCTTGAGATGGAATGACATCTTCATAGATCGAGTGATTAATCCAAATTCGCAGGCAACGAGGTGCCTAAACAAGGAGTGGAAATAAATATATTATAAACTTGGTCGGATGTCATTTACAAGTTCCAAGTCATTTATTTTTCTATATTTTTTATTTTATTTATTTATTATATTTATTTATTTTTTATTTTTCTATAAATTTATCATTTTTTCTATTTTTTCCTAAGTTATTTAGGGTTTAAGGTTATCTTTAGGATTTAGGGTCAGGACTGTTAGCAATTATGTTCAGAGTAATATATCCTCAAATTAGGAGTGTTATGAGTTGATTTAGTTTTAAGTTATGTTTCATGCAAGTTATCACACCCTTATAAAGCTTTATAAATAGAGGTCATATGTGTTGTAAAGATATGAGAAAAAATCTGAATAAAGCTTAGTTTTATTTCCTTCAAATCTTTGTGTATTCCCTCTTATCCCTCTCCCTCTCTCGCTCTCTCTCTCATTCAAGATCAAGAAGAACAAGTTCTTCTTCCTCCTCCAAGTTTTAACAAATGGTATCAGAGCCACAGTGGCGACGATCTCAAAAGAGGAAGGTGTTCTTGAGGTTTTCAAGTTGCCGGTAAATGCGCAGAAGCTGACGAGCACGAGGGTTCTGCGATCGGCAAAGCAGAGCGGACGGAACTCATTGTCGTGGGCTTCGGCGTTCACGCGAATGGGGCTAAGACCAATCTTGCAGAAGACCGCAGGGGTGGCTGCACGCAAGGCCGCTGGATCGGACTAACCAGAGCAAGCAGGCCAGACCGCGAAAGGCCACGAGGGTGGAAATCGTGTGGGGTGCTTGCGGGGGGCACGGAGCTGCATCCGTGGGGTCCGAGAAGCCGAAGGTGCCTAGAGCTCGCGGACACGCGCGGCGGGCGGTAAAGCCCGACTCGACATAGGAGACTCGCTGAAACGTGGAGTAGACGGTGTGTCTGGGCTTCGTTCATGCAAGAGGGTTGTGAGGCAAGGGCCGGGTTGGACGGGCGCTGTATTCGCTGGAGAAAGCGTCTGTAGCGGAATAGGACGTCGTCGAGCTCGTTCGCTGGACGCGTGCGATGGATCTGGTGCAAATGGGTTCCACGTGGAGAAGTTTGGCGTGGACAGGAATTGCTGCTTGAGCGAGCGTACACGAAGCTTCCAAGGCTCTTCTTGTAGAATGCTTAGAAGAGCAAGAAGATGATGGAACTTGGAAGGAAGCGTTGAGGGAACTGATGCATGTGTCGATGCTTGGTGTGAAGGATGTTAATGCTGTGTGTTGGAAGGCAAGAATTAAAGATCGATCAAGATCTTTTTTGAGGTGGAGTCCGGGAGGCAAAGGGTTGGTCGTGTGATCAAGCAATGGAGGCAACAACAAGACCAAGAACCACAAGGCGGCAAGATGGTCGCGAACTTGGAATTGGACTGGTGGATTGTGCGAAATGGCAGGTCGGATTGCGCACGGGCGTCCAGGGCGATCGGTTGGATTGCAACAAGTTCGAGTTCTTGTGACGAGTGGTTCTTTATTTTTTTGTAAAACTAAATCAAGGTGGAGATTGTTATGAGTTAATTTAGTTTTAAGTTATGTTGCTCATATAAGTTATCACACCCTTATAAAGCTCTATAAATAGAGGTCATATGTGTTGTAAAGATTTGGGGAAAAATCTGAATAAAGCTTAGTTTTATTTGTATTCCCTCTTGTCCCTCTCCCTCTCTCTCTCTCATTCAAGATCACGAAGAATAAGTTCTTCTTCCTCCTCCAAGTTTTAACAAGGAGCAAATGGGATCGAACTACATAAATACTTTTGTAGGTGAAAGATCCCCTTGGAGCCTTGTCACCTCAAGCCAAAGCTTTAGTCAACATCTCATCCATAAATCCGAATGCCAATACTGCTCCATGCTATTATGCAATATTTAAGTTCCAAAGTTTAAGTTCCAAAGTATGTCAACCTGATATCTCTAATAAAGTCAAGTGAACAATCATTAATAATATAGATGGGAGAAATAATTAAAAATTATTATCTTTTTTGAATTGTCATTCTAGTATAAACCTATACAAAGACGAGAAGCAAATAATAAATGAAATTATAGTAAAATAGAATATTAATGCTAATGAGAAAATATTATAATAATAAATCAAGTTTGATTTCTATTATAAATTGAATACAATTCTACAAAAGCTTCTAATAGGAATCATATAAAATTAAAGAATAATAACTACATTATAATTATAATAGTTTACCGATAGATGAGTAGGTAATAAGGGCCCGACAGATCAATGAAATGACAATGAAAGAGAGGATAAAAAGCGAAAGTTTTGGTGAGATTCCCAACTGACGGCATTTCACACCCCTCTTAAGTGAATGAATGGATGTCATCCATTTAAGTGTGAAACCCCTTAAGTAAAAAGAATCTAAACTTTTAAACATTGAGGCGTCATTTGATGTAATTGTTGGAATTTCATTAAGAAATTCCGCAGTTAAACGTGCTCATCCCGAAAAAAATCCTATGAAGAGTGACCTTCTGGAAAGTTACACTAACAGGACAAAACCGTGAGGCCATTAAGTAGATAACATCTCCATAGTTAAGAGTTTGAGCTGTTAAAAAATGGTATCATGAGCAATACACTAGCTGGAAGATGAGAACAAAGTGTCATACAAAACAAAGTGCTGCGTCGTGAGAGTCATCTCTTAAACCCTGTATGAGACAAAATACTACGTGACATGAGTCGCCATTTGATCTTGTAAAGGCAACCTCTAGAATCCTATCTATTTGGTGGATGATTTTGGGATAAAGATATTGCTGAGAACGTCAGTTACTTAAGTAAGAAAGATTGTGAAACTAATTAAGTAAAAAAAAGCAAAATTCTTAAATATTAAGGTGTCTTTCAGTATAATGGTTGTAATTTCATAAAGAAACTCCACGGTTAATTGTGCTCACCCTGGAGAAATCATGTGATAGGTGACCTCATGAGAAGTTACACCAACAGGACAAAATCGTGAGGCCCTTAGGTCAATGCTGACAATATCTCGATAGTTAAGAGTTTCAGCTGTTACACTAAGCTTGCCTAATAATTTCTTAAAGATTGTTCATAAGAAACCTTTGATAAAAATATCTGCAAGTTTTTGTAGATAAAAAAGTACAAATTAGATATATATATATATATATATATATATATATATATATATATATATATCACTTCGAAGCTCTTAAAGAGTGGGGGTCAATTAATATGATTTTACCACAAGAAAATATCAGCTTCATTATTTCAAGAATATCAAGATACATGATACTTCAATTACGTAACTCCATAATATAGTGACAACTCAAGTCTTAAAGACTAAAATCTTCTGAGGATGTTCTAATAAAATTCAATCTGTGAATGCAGTTTCCAATGATTCAACCAAAATCATACAGTTCAATAATGACCTCCTAATATAAAAGGCATTCCTCAGATAGCTTACATAGATCTTAAGAACACTCTCATTCCTTATCATTGTACAAGGTTAAGGACATAAACATTTTCATTACTTTTCAAGTTGGACATAATCTTCTCAATCTTGGGCGGAGTTGGACAGCGACAACTGCAATTTTAAATGTTTTAATCGATCCTTGTTGAACTGGATTTGATGTTATCCCAAGAAGAGCAATGAACTTATGAAAGGTTTTGCAAAAAAATCATTAGTGGATTTAAATTCCTCGAATTGGGTGATAATCATAGTATCTGACTTATAGATCTATAAGGTCAATACAAATTTTTTGTTGGATTTTAATTTCAAGTGTAGGGCTTTATGATTGAAATTTGTTCTCCCTAAGTCTCAACCATACATTTTAAAAATTTTAAACTAAGGGCAATGTCTTCATTATCATTGTTCATGACAAAGTCTCCCAACAAGAGCTCTCAAAGTCCTAGACAAAAATCATCAAAGTAATTTGGCATTAGCCCAATTGATTCTAAGTACTTAAGTTCAAGAAGAAAGTCAACACTTTCAACAATATATATTTCCAGTAAAATAATCACAATAAATATGCCCATTAGAGTCTTGAATATAGAATTTCACGCTCTTTTTGCTTAAACCAGCTTTCCAACATAATAAGTATGACTCAGAGGACAGTAAGAAAAATATCCCTCTATATCATTTGACAAGGTAGTCCTTAGAAAACCTATTTCTAGCAAAATGAGTGATAAGAAATCACCAAGGTTTATCTTATCTATCATCGCTAGTAGTTTGTACTCAATATGATATTCTAGATATTGCATCCTCAACTAGAGAATATGATTAATGCTTCTATATGTCATCCTTCAATGATGTGTCGCTACTCCATTCTCACAGAGTAGCCTATGCCATTCTTTGAAATCTCTCAAGGGTTGAAAAAATCTTAATGAGTGCAAACTACATAACGATCAACGCTAAGCTTCCATCACATAAACTAACATGATTTTTCGACCAAAAATTCCAAACTGACAATCAATAACAAGTACCTTCATCCCTTATTTAGTGATGAACCCAAAATTTAAGGAAAAATAATTATTTTAATTAAGAGATTTCGATCAAATAACTCAAAAATTGAGTTGAAATAATTATTTTCAACTTTGCTTGCAAACAGGCTCCACTCAAAATCAAAATACTCAATTTTTTACATAAGACTGACTCGCTTGAACTTGACGTGATATCACTCCCAGACTAAATCAATGCTCAAATTAATTAACCTCTACATGAACAACAAAAGGTCAAGTATGAGAACAATCAAATTTGTTGGACAAGAATGAACCTAAATAGCTTGACTATTACTTTATTAGAACCTAAGGATGTATAAACCTGTATTTGTATTTTCTCATATATATAGGCTTGGGTTATGTCGTGGCAACTGTACATTGGTCTGCATATATAAAGGCCACTATCATTCTCTATAAATACTTGGCTTTCTCTGTATTAGGATCGATGCATATATGAATAAACTTATTTCTTCTATTCTGCTTCTTCTTCCTTTCCTGCTTCTGTTCTTGAATGCTATCAAGATCTCGCTGCCATCATTCTCCTTTCTACATTGACAATCAATCCTACGCCATAGATCGAGTTACCATGTCCTTCATTAATGATGAGACGCTAAAACGATCTTCTTTGAAGGCCATAACAACAATATGGTTGCCAACAAACAAGAGGATGCTATAATGGTTGTGGATGAGGGACACAGGTGGCCTCCATTTTCATTATTAGTATGCTCTCATTTGGCCGTGAAAATTATTAGTATGCTCTCGCTTGTTGCCGCATCTACTATGTAATTTGGTTGTTTTACTTCCAGATTAAAAAAAAAAGTGCCAGGATATTGAAAAGTCGAATATGAACTTCTATCAAACATAAAAATTTTGAATAGACAAATTAAAATGAAGTCCGTGTCTTAAAATCATTTATAAACACATTTGGTTAAATATAAACTTTTTAAATAATACCCGAAGTAGATGAATTTCGCATAATGAGTACAATTATTCAAATGATAATGATAAAAAGTTAAAAAAATTATGTATTTTTAAAATAATTAAATTGTGCCCACCACTAAAACAAATTTATGGCTCCGGCCATGGTTGCATAAGGGAAGGAGGATGGGTCGGAGGTGGAAATTTGGTTGGATTGGGAGTCTGTGATGCCATCAGCTTGGTTCCTTCCTCCTAAACTAGAAATGCAGCCGCGGATTAGCTGCGGCGGAGGAGCTTCGGAAGGGCGGTTTGTGTTTTACGGGAAAAGACAAAAACACCTGAAGCTTATTCTGAAATTTTTTTAAAAACTAACTGATTTGTTTTCGAGGAAAAGCAAAAATAACATATTTTCTGTTTTTTTAACTGTTTTCTTAATAAATAACAAATTAATCCCAAAAAAGCCCTAGGTTACAAACATACTTCAAAGCACCATTGTTGCACTGTGATTATAGTAGAATACTAAGAATGCAAGCAACCAAGGAAAAATGGTTTGCATGTGAGCATACCCGGGGATCTTTAAATTCCTGGATGCATTCGATCTCAGACCGGAGAACTTTCAGGAGGTTTTCATCCGCTCCCAGCTTAGAGGAGGCGAATCGAACAGATAGAAATGACGAAGATTGCTTGAGGTTCTGCGTCAGTGCACTCCGTACAAGAGAAGAAAAAGGTGACGAAGAGGCCACAGAAGAGCAGGAAAGAACAGGACGGTGCCGAGCACAGAGAACCAAGGACAGCTGGAGGCGAGCTTCTCTGCGAAGGAGTGGACGAGAAATGGAAAAAGCCATTTTGCCCCAACAGGTAGGTCTGTAGTGTTTCGGTGAAGCCGATGAAGGAAAAAAGAATGGTTTTTTTTTTTTGAGCCAAGCTGTGCTAGGGTTTAAAGAGCGGCTGTTGCACCTGGGGTTTTAGGTAACTAGAGCGGGTAGGGCTGTGGGGCTGTGGGGCTGTAATGCTAATGTATGGGGTTTTAAGAGCTAAGCCCAATTCATTAATCTAAAAACAAAAAGAGAAGCTATAAAAGTAGGGCTCTTAAAATTGGGTCATGGGTCGGGTTTGAATCCAACTAAAAATTGATCAGGCACTGTTCGACCCGACCCGAACCCAACATGCTTCGGGTATGTTTTACTATTTTTTTTATTTAATTTAATTTATTTAAACCTTAATCAAATTAAGGTAAAATTTACTTCAATCAATTTAAAATAAACCAAGCTTAATTCTATTTGGAAAACATCATTTATTATTTTTTGGAAATAACATTTACTTATTTCATAACAATCTTTTAAAACCCTCATAAATCAATTAAAAATAGGTCAAAACAAGTTGATTTTGGGTTTTCAGGTCAACCCGAATTGGTTTTACAAGCAGTTCGAAATCCCTAACCCAAATCTGACCCGGTGCTGATTCGTGTTGACCCGAACCCGAATTTTTCGAATTGAATTTTCTGATCGTATCAAATATTAACACCCCTATATAGGAGCAGCCATAAAAAATGAGCAATACCTTGCAAAAAAAATCACCAATAAAATAGTAGGTGATACCAAAAAGAATCGAGATGGACAATGCCAACATAGATAATAAGAGGGAAAATAAGAAACCAAGAAGAGGGGAAAACCCCTAGTTAGGACTTAGTTTTAGATAATTCATAAGCATCAGCATTGTAGAGATACGTAGGGCTCTCCTGGTTTCCATAAAGAACATCCAAGAGGAGAAATTTGGATCAAAAGCATCATAAAATCAGTCTAAAGGCAACAAGGGAAGCAGCCCATATGCCAAGAAAATTATCAAGAAAGTAAATTCAGACAGCAAGATAGCTGCCTTAAGACCATCTCCAACCGAAAATCTCATTTTTCACTTCAAAATGCCGTGAAACTAAAAAAAAAAATACCGTGATTCATCCAATCGAACTCCAATTTTGTGAAGTAATGTTCTTTCTTCTTTTCGTGTTTTCTTCATAAGTTAGGTAGAGAGAAAAATAGTGGAGATGAATAAATAAATGTCAATATTGGGGTCTCACTGTTCACCCGCAAGTAAATAGCGGAAATTTTACAGTTCCGCTGGACCTCTGCAGCAACGCCATTCAAACGTTTAGAGTTCGGTTGGAGATGCCCTAAGCATTAAACCAAACCAGCAAGAGAATCCCTGTTTTCCATTTAGAAAATTTGAGTTTAACGGCCTTTTTTATCTTCAAAATAACAGTTGAAACACTGCAAAAAGATCCACCAAATTTTCTTTCATTATGCCCACGCCATAAATGATAAACCGAACAACAAATGGTGAGAATATATAGGTTTTTAATCTCTTGCAAACAACCAACCATAGCATCTATCTTATGCAGAACTTGAAATAAATTTGGCTTAAGTAGGTAACTATTGTAATTAGGAATTAGGCTAGAAATGATAGAGAAACAATAGTCACTGTCAAAGATGAGATGCTAAATGCTTTCAGGAGAGGAGTGACAAAGAGAGCAAATATATATTTAAAATTGTCTTTTTTTTTATTATGTTTTGATGCCTGCCTAAACGGGAGCGAACAAAGGACGATAGATTTGAGAATTTAAATTTAAATCATTAAAAATTTAACTTAGTAAAAATTAATTTAATAATATTAGAGCTTGTTAATTAAGCTTTTTAATGAGTTTGTTCGCGAGCATTAAATGATATTGTTTGTGATCATAAAAAACCGAACGTCAAGCTGTTCAAGCTCGTTTATTAAACTATCGAATATTTATTAAAAGAGTTTAAGTTTGTTTGTTTACCTTATCAAACAAATATGAACGAGTTCTTATTGAGCCGAGCCACAATAGCTTGTCGAACACTCAGTTTATTTGCAGCCCTAACTATTAGTCTCATCAAGATCTCCTTGCAATTTTCCCGACTCTTTTCAATCATGGAGGGTCAAGATTTTGAGGGAAGGGTTCAAATAAATATGAAGATTGAAAATTACAAATGTATTTGTTATAGTTTTAAGTGTTAAATATGCAAATCCTGTTAAAGATTTATATATATATATATATATATATATATATTATAAATTAGGACATGACATACATAACACCTAAAATATGCACATTTATAAAATTAACATCCATGATTTTTTTGAACAATCAAATTCACATATTTGTGCATGTCACCATTAAATTATTAGAATTTTGCAAAAGTGAAATATGATAAGTATTTTATAGTGAATTTTGATATTTGGGTGATTATTTAAAAATTTTAGGTATAAGAGTATTAATTTTATAAATAGTTCAGATTTCTATGATAAATTTAATTTTAAAAAAATGCATAAATTATTATTAGTTGTAAGATGTGATGATGAAAACCCCTTAATGTAGCCCTGCTAATTCAAAATGTATGCCACTTTGATGCTTACTCTAGCTCAGAGGCCAAAGAATAGGTTTTGATCATCAATTCACATCCCTACATTTGTCCATTTTTATAGCAATAATGATATCACATAACTTCTCTCTTTAGACTCTTACTATCTCTCCTTTTTCTCTCTTACTTTTCATCTATAATGTTCCGTAACCATAATCTCACATAGAGGACTAATTATTTTATGCAGATGCCGAATACCGTCCGAAGACCAACCAGAATACGCCACGTCACCCCTTTGCTCGGTACTGCTTGGTACCGCTGACGTGACGCATTCTGGCTGGTCTCCAGATAGCGTTCTACATCCAGTCTCCGCACAGAACAATAATATAATCAAGAAATATCCATCCTCTCTATGTGGGCGACATAAATATTTTGGTGAATTTTAAAAAAATTTCTTGTTGAGATAGTAAGAAATATAATATTCAAAGAGAATTTAATGAGGTAAGATGACTGAGAAGAAATTCGAAATATTTGAGAAAGAAAAGCACAAAATAAAAAGGAAAACCCTAAGAGAATTGAACACCACTATAAATTCATGAGATCAACTTAACGTGAATAATTTTGGAAAAACATGCACAGAAATTAACACACCATAATCATCACTTCAGTTGCATATAATGGTTCTACAACGTCTTCCAAAACCAGGAAATCTTACATCACCTTGTTCATAATAGATCATATAATAGCTTAAGAGCAAAGTTTTTATCTGCTGTAGAGTAAAATGTCTGGATTTTTTATTCTACATAAGCGCACACGAATGGACAATCATATTCTTATCCGGCATCTCCAGAAGTGAAAATTGGTGCAGATGTTTCATACAAGAACTCATAAATTTTGCAGGGGGAAGGAGTTTATTAGACCTGGAAGTCACTGAAGCCCCGGCGAGTTCGAAGAGGATGACAAGACAGAGAGGATGTCAGATACAGAAGCCATGGCACTTAGAGCTGCCTTCAAAACTTCCTGAGAACATCCAGGCTGCACTATATTTTTCACCTGTGACAATCATGAGAATCCAGGATTGATTGATGATTAAGATGGTATTTATTTCATTGATTCACATGGTAATGCAGCAATACAAGAGATGGTTTATTTATCTGTCCACTGTTCAATAAGAGAACTATCCATTTGAGCTACTTATTAGGAGAAAAAAGATAGATGTTAGAGAGAGAGAGAGAGAGAGAGAGAGAGTCCACAAACATAATAAACTCAAGATTTACGTGGTTCAACTTTGTAGCCTACATGCACTATGCAAGAAGATTCCACTATGAAGAGAGTCTCAATTAGGATAGATTATTACGTGCAGCGTTCGAACCGTCCGGAGGCGAATCCGGACGCGCCATATCACCCAGATGCATCGGCCCTAGGTGATGTGGCGTATCGGGATTCGCCTCCGACGAATCCAAACGCCGCACGTAATAATTTTTCCTCAATCAGACGTAGGGGCTCCAGATTTCTTGCATATGGGGCTTGCATTTATTATTATGGCAAATGAGTGGACGGGATTGAATGCAGAAAATAAGGTGTTGCACTTTCCCCCTCCATTTTGAACTATATGAATAAATGTTATAAATGAAAAACATGCACACATTTTCTATTCTACAATCCCCTCTTTCCCAACATCAGATGAATATATCCTTGAGTTTTGTGCGATCAATTCGTAAAGGTTGATCAATGACATCAAAGTAGAAGGGAAACAACAAGCTTCTAGCATTGTTGAGGAGGGTGAAGAAGGCGATGGTCCATACAATATGATTGACTAATTGTAATTTTAAAAAGTGTATATTAAGTCCTATAATATTATATTATTGCTTAGTCCTCTTTAGACACTTCTCCAATTTATATCCTCCAACTCAACTTTAGAAGTTATATAATTATTCTTCAGTACAAGAAATTTAAGATACTAACACCAGTTGAGCCTAAATATTACTGTTCTAATTTATTATTAGCATGATTATTAATTCAAACGCATTAAAGTGGGATATCATATCTTAAGCCATTAAACTTCTAAATATGGTCTCAGTTCTTCCAAAGCTTCACTTTAGTGGAGGTCACATCAATCAATTAGAAAAGTATCAATGAAAAAAAAAACCTCATTTTAAGGAAAACACTTAATATTGTAAGAATCTAAAAAATACAAAATATATGAACTTAATATTGATCATTGATGCAATTATATTGTGATGAAAACAGTTTGGTCACTCTACAAATAGAATAAAAAGACCATAAAAAAGGAATAAGTGTCATATTATCTACTAAACTCCACCACTGAAGTCTGCTGACATTAACCTAGCGATGATAATCACAAGCCGGTAGGATCACGTTCTAGAGGAATAATTCAAGTGTAACAATGCAATAGGAAGATAAAAACAAGAAGAAGCACAATATCAGGGGCAAAGGAGCATGGGATAAAGGAATGACTCCAACCCAGTCTATTCGAAGAAGTGTTAATGTAAATACAAAATGATTGAGGTCACCGAATGAATAATAAAATAATCCAAAATTTTGAGGTGGATTGGCAAAATCAAGCTGAAGCCAAGAAAAAAACACAACGAACGGTCATGTTTTGAAAAATAACATAGCCATGATACTTTAGATCAGGATATCTACATGGATACAACTCACTGGAATCTTTAAATAAAGACCACATTATCGAGAAAAAAATAGCATAATAAAAGCTTATAAAACTTAAAGAAAGCATATGTGAACCTTATCCAGATATTCTTGTAGTAATTTAATCCGCCCCATGTAATCATGATCTTCCACAGATAATGTAAATGTCTTAGCATCAGCACCATCTGCATCAAACTGAAGTGGTCCGGGGTTTCTGTAAAGATCATCCAGCAAAAAGCCAGATGCATTGCGTCTCAGCAACCTGAAAAGGATATTCATCAAAAAAACACAGAAGAATAGATCAATCTTATAAGAAGTTTTGTTATAAAAAATGATTTAGATATAAAAATTTGAAAAATTGAAAAAGATATAAAGGGACCCGTATGTATATATATATATATATGCTAGAAGTAAATATTTAGTTCAAATAAAATAATGGAGTGATTAGTCAAACAAATCTTATAGTAGAGGTTAGTGTACACAACAGTATAACAAATCACTTCGTCTTTGTCCAATATAATTCATCCAGCTATGTTAATTTGATGGTCCATGTCGATAGACCATTCTTGCTGGGAGTGATTAAAATGAAGTAACCAATAAAGCAGTACCTGCAAAAAGCCTTTCTAAGTAAAGATCTGGTCCTGTCAAATTCTACGTCAGAACGAGTTTCCCTCTCTCAAATGAAGTATGCAACTAACCTTCTAGAAGAAATTGGTCTATTACGTTGTAAACAAGTTGACACTCCTAATGACACAAATAAAAAGTAAATGTTTGAAAATGTCTCACATTATCAGAAGCTAGTTGGAAAATCGATTTATTTTTATATCTCCTTTCTTATAAGAGTTATGAGTTATAGGAAGTTGCTCAATGTATTTTTAGATATATTAATAAGCCACATGGAAAAGCACTACTATATACAAAGAGTAAACATCTTATTTTACCATGTAGGGTTAGGTATTTTAGAAGGTGGGAGGCCAAATGTATGAAGATTGATCAAGACCCCATGCACCATTTCATTTTTTTATATATTTAGGCTGAGTTGTAATTACAATAGATCTAAACTACTTTTTTGCAAAACCCAGCTGCATTTATGATCATTCACTATTATTTATTGTTTGATGATTGGTGTGTTTATATTTGATTGCACATTCGAACTGCATTATTTCATAGGATTCTTATTTTATTTTGCTTTGGGGTGGCTCGGACGGAGTCCTCGTTAGGCTCTTAGGATGTTAAACTTTCTACAAAGATAAAATTTTCTTAAAACAAGATAAAAATGAACAAAAGACTTAAAATCAATCAGCTTTTTAAAACTAATGCATGATTATTCTTGGGTCAATCTTTTAAATGTAATTAATGTATCAAACCTAGCTCACTTCACAGTGACTATTGGTTAGTTCTGATTAGCCCTACCCATGTATACATAGCCTGAGTCAAATCATATATATATATATATATATTTTTGTCACATAGAGGGATAATTTACTTTTGCATAACATAGTACCATACATGGTCGCTTAAGGCCCATCTCCCTTCTATGCCTCCCACCACTCTTTTATTGGCATATGATCGAACTTCATGGATTTGAAATTCTAGGTGAAGTTTAGCTGGTACCCCTATTCAGAGTAGAGTGGTAAATCCAGATCGGGGCTGCCTAGATCCCTGGTGGGGTTTAGGTTATAAGTCCCCTCGGTGTCTTATATTAGTTAGGTTATGGTCGTTAGTACCGAGTATACAATACGTCCTTTATAAATCTAAGGAAAAAGGCTGGCGGTATAGGTATATCATTGTACGCCTTATCATTGAATATGTTTTTTATTCTCGGGAGGCTATAAATCTCACACATCCGCGTCACACTGATAGCGTCGTTTCCATCTTTCTCTCATGCATGCTTGGTATAAGATGACTCTCGTGATTTCACCTCTTTTGACTGGCCGAGTGAATATATGATCTTTGCATGTTGAATAGAACGATTGAGCCTATCTTCATTTGGATTAGGAGAGCCTAGATATTCCACTATGTGCCAAACCTACAACAACAACAACAATGACAGCATCAAGCCTTTGTCCCACTACGTAGGGTCGGCAACATGAATCCTTTTTTTGCCATTGTGTCTTGTTAAATTCTCATTTAAATCTAATAAAAAATGATCATTTCTAATATTTTCTAACCAAATCTTTTTAGGTCTACCTCTACTTTTCTAAACATAAGTCAAATCTAATACTTCAACTTTCCTAACCGAGTCATCAAAAGGCCTCCAGTTAATATGACCAAACCATCTAGGGCGACTCTCTCTAACCTTATCTTCTACTAGAGCTACTCCAACCTTTTCACGTACATGCTCATTTCATATCCTATCTCTAAGTGTAAAATCACTTATCCACCTAAGCATCCTCATCTCTACAACACTTAACTTAATATTATGCTTCTCTTTTAATGGCCAACATTCGGTACCATAAAGCATTGCAGGTCTCACCACTATCTTATAGAATTTTCACTTAAGTTTGAGGGGGACTTTTCTATCGCACAAAAAGCCCGATGCATTCCTCCACTTCAACCATCCAACTTGAATTATGCTGATAATATCCCCATCTATTTCACCATCACTCTGAACAATAGATTCAAGATATCTAAAATATGTACTCTTATTAGTGATTTAATCGTCCAAAGCCATAATCCCCTCACTAGATCTATTGCTACTAAAATTGTACTTTATATATTCAGTTTTAGATCTACTCAAGCAAAAACCTTTAGATTCTAAGGTTGACCTCCATAATTCAAGTTCACCTTCAACTTTATCTCTAGTCTTATCAACAAGAAGAATATAAACTCCATCTCTAGTCTTATCAACAAGAAGAATATCATCAGCAAAAAGCATACACCAAGGTACATCCTCTTGCAAATGTCTAATGAGGGCATTCATGACTAAAGCAAAAAGATATGGACTTAAACCTGATCCTTGATGTAATCCAACCGAAATAGAAATTTGGTCAAACCACCTAGTGCTTGAACACAAGTAATAGCCCCATGCATGCATATCTTTAATGATTTGAATATAAGCGTTAGTAACTCCTTTCTTTTCAAGAACTCTCCATAGCACTTCTCCTGGAACTTTATCATATGCTATCTCTAAATCAATAAATATCATATGGAGATCATCTTTATTCTATCTATATTTCTCCATCAAACCTCTCATTAAATGTATGACTTCCATAGTAGACCTACCGGCATGAATCCAAATTAATTTTTTGAAACATTAGTATCAACTATGTGCCAAACCTAAAAGAGAATAAAATAACATCCTCAATCGAGAGTATTCTTAGGTCGAGGCCTAAGATGCAATTAACCACGGGGGCTTGCGCCTATGTGGAACCAATACCCACATCAAATAAGCACCATTCGAGCTGATGTGTTGAATGAGGAAAATCACGTGACTATCTAGTTATACATATTATTATAGATCGGGATGTGTAAGAGGAAGCCACTATAATTAGTACCTTAAGTATAGTCATTATCATCACCATTAGATTTAATCCCAACTATTTGTATTATTATTTTTCATTCCTATTGAATATTGCATGAGGTGTTAAACATATTCTTCATAAATCATTTTGAACTTCTTCTATCTATGTTGCCCAATTCTACTGCATTTTCTTTTCAATACTAAAGTTATCTAATCATTTAATGGTGCATTTTCTCTTTTTGCTGTGCTAAAATCACTTAAGTTTATTTTCAACAACCTTATAGTCAATAAATGCTGCCCCAGCCATCCCCAATATGATCATTACTTATTTCATCATTCCTAATTTTGCCACATATTCATTTTAATATTTTGAATGTTGACCAATAACTTGCTATCAACTTTTCTATATGTCAATATTCAGAACCAAATAACATAACAAGACTAATTATAATTTTATAAAATTTACCTTTAAGTCCTCATGATATCCTTCTTATCAAATAAATACCATCGTAAGATACTTCACTATTTTAAGCACCCAACCCTACAACAACAACAACATTAAGCCTTTATCCCACTACGTGGGGTCGGCCTATTAGATTGGAGATACCATTTTAAATTTAAACACCCAACCCTAACTACAAAAATTATATCATTGTTTAAATTTAACTCTTCTATATAATAGACTTAAGATACTTCAATTTATCACACCTAGTTAACATCTTATCTTCTAATAATAATAATTGATAATTATTAATATCACTCTTATTAAAATTACATCTAATATATTCATTTTGTTCTATTAATTATAAACCTTTATATTCTACATATTTTCTTTATTTTTGTACCTTTTAATTTTTTTTAATGCAAGTCTAAATGACTATAATAGTAATTTACTCAATTTTAATCTTTAATGTAATCTTACTATAATTTAAAGACTCTTTGGATCATTTCACAACTACTATCGCTAGCCAATGCTCCATCATATATATATATTTTCTTGTAACATACTTTTGACACATTTTTTTTATTTAAGCTAAAAGTAATCAAATCTCATAAAATCAATTAAAAAATATGAAGATCGTTTCTAAGCTTTCTATTCATTTTCATTAATTGTCTTAATAGAAAAAATAGTTTCGTAATAGTCTTCCAGTCACGAAACTAAATTGATTTTCTAAAACCAACATAAATTTTATACATTCATATTCTATTACTCTATCGCATAACTGAATTTCACAACTCATATGTTTGATTCCTCTATGGCCACCACAACTTCCACAACCCCTCCATTCTTAAGCAGTGGCCCTAAAATGCTTCTCATCTAATTATTTGGCATCCTCATATCCTTGAAATTCCATTGAAAAGAGTTGTTAACCAAGACATAGGAATATCACCAAAAACTCTCAAAATCTCAATATACATATCTCATTTGGATCTAAAGTATTACATTTATGTATATTTTTCATAACAAAATATACTCCATTTTTTTAATAAATTTATAATATATCTTATTTTGTTCATTATACTCTTCTAAAATAATCTTTTTATAAAATTTCCAGCTCCCTACACGTGAATGTTTAAATATATCTTAAAGATGTTATAAAAACAATGAAGACGTGAATGATCATATAGCTATAAGAGAAAAACATAAAGCTAAGAAGAAAATTTTAATGAAGCAAAACTGTGATCAATGAGATTTTATGAATCCGAAATGCTGGATAAAAAAGACTTCACAGATATGATGGATGCGACGGAAATAAAATTATTAAGATAACTAACTGAGTCGTATGAAGGATGGAATGGAAAACAACCACAAATAGTATCGAAATAAAACCAACTAAAATTGAAGTTATAAAAATAGATACGTATTTTTGTACGTAAAAAGAAACCAGAATGTGCAAATAAAAAAGAGGGAAAATAGAGCCAATGTATATATGTCAGTTCAAAATAATATGGCTTAAAGTTTAGCAAAAAGAATCTAAATACACTGAACTTACCACCAAAAGCAGCACTTAACAAATGATGATTGGAAAAGCATTATTATAGAGCTGACCCTATATAATTGGGCAAAAGCTAAATACGAAGATGATAAAGCTTTTGCTAACTACATAAAAAGAGGTCAATACTGACCTCAACTCAATTTCATTGAATTTAAAATGCTATTTAGAAAGCATACTCGTATGCTTTTCCTTTCAAATCAACAGAAGCAGGATGGACAGCAGGTTTCCCTATTGGACTTATGCCAGGTCCACGAGACCATCTCTTTACAGTCATCATTGCCTAACAGCAACAAAACAGAAGTAGTCTCATGTGGTCTGTATTATAAACATTGTAAGTTAATAAATATCATATTATAAAGGAGATGAACAGATAATATAACTGTAATTGGCGCAGCACCACATTTCCACTTATTCACAGGGCTTTTCAGGTTTGTCACAGTAGCCATGTAGCCATTAAGACCAGCTGCAAGAATATGGTAACAGATGTGCCCAAGAACCTGTGACACCTCTTATTCTTTAAATTAATTTATGATAACATAAATTTAAAACGAAGGAAAACTACAAGAAATTTAAACTTACATAGGCATAGTCACAGTCAAACTTTGAAGGTAAAGAGCCCCGAGCTTGATAACCAAAAAAGTGACAGATTGCATTAAATTTCTTTCCTTTATATGTTCCTTCTTTCTGTAATAAACAAGGTTAAATATAAAAAAGGTGACTCTGGAAAGTACCAATAAAATGATACAAATTGAAAATTTTTGGCAGGTTCAAGACTTATGATAGTGTAAACACGAGGGGAATAACATCAAGCACTATGACTAATTTATCATGTTAAGAAAGAACAATAAGACATAGATATTAGAAAGTAATTAATATAATTATAGGTTACATCAACTGTTCTCCTAAGGATAATGCATAATTTTAGCCCTAAGGGCCCAATAAAACAATGCAAAAGAATCAAAACAAAATCCAATGTTCTTTAAAAGTTTATCCGCTAAGAGTAAGGCACAACATGCTCACCGTTCGCTTTTTCATTTCATTCTCCACCAAATGAGCCAGAAGCTTTTCGGTTTCGATCTATGCACAACCAAGAGTGTAATTTACAAGAAAAGGTAATTAAGACTACCAGTTACACCCAACAGAATAAATTTACCTGAGACAACTGTGCTGAGTCATCAGATTCAGGGTGAAGAAGCAACTGCAACATGATAGCTTTAAATATAAACGCAACAAAATACATTTAAACCAGAAGCATCTCATCCTCAAGTACAAGACCAGACCTGCTTCCTGATGAATGGCGGCAAAAATTCAAATAAGGCAGATGCCCAGGGAGAAAGATGGGTGGAGATCTTCTCAGCTGAAATACCTTGACCATGAAGAGCATGAATTTCCTGTAATAATTATAGCTACCCATGCAATCACGTTGATATAACATAAGCAGAGAATTATGAAAACAACATGCAGCTTCTGAAATGTCTAATCAAGGAATCCAACCCTTAATTAGCAGAATACCTGCAAGAGAGCATACAGTTCGGGAATACTCTCTACCAAACCCTCTGGGATAAGAACCACCCCATGATACTTCTCTGCCATGGAAGCATAATTAAAGCAGATTAGAAAATTAGAGAATGGTCAAAATGGTCTTTAAACTATTTGAATGGAGTCATTTTAATCAAAGGCTACCTAATGTGTTAAATTCAGTCTCCTGACTTAGCAAATATGATCCAGAGTTTAAAAGCCAAGAGATTATTTTGGATCAAATTTAATCAATGGACAAAATTGGACACATCGGATAATTTAGAACAAAATGTCATCCCATAAATAGTTCAGAGACTATTTTGAAAATTTTCTCATTACAAAACCAAATTTTTGGTTCGCCTAAGTCTACACAGAAAACCTAACAGATAGCTGTTAAAACGCAATACAAAATCAAAAACAATCAAACCTAGCTCTGCCCTGGCTTGAACAGCGTTAGAGATCTGATTTGTGATATCAAAGAGAGTAAGTTTTGAGGCAGTTACCTCCTCACCAAAAATAACCTGGCAACATGATGAATCCAAATTAATTCATAAAATGTTAAGAGAAATATTAACGTAGCATGTCGGAACAGAAAGCTATACCAAGTTTGGATGAGATTGGAGAGCACATTCTAAAGCTACATGAGAAGCTTTGCGGCCCATCAAGCGAATAAAATAATAATACTGCAAAATAAAATGTAAAACATCATGAAGTGAAGAAAAAATTCAAACAAACCAGGACATCTTATGGAAAAATACGCAAGGCATGAAAATTGTGAATAATGGAGTTGAAACATTAGCTCTTGATAAACATTCATTTCTAGCACAAAAAACACAATCTCACAGACACGTAAGATTGAATTTTCAAAATGATCTTCTTAATTAGATCTCATACTGGCAACAGCATAATGAAACTTTACAGTCATATCTCGACAACAACGATAATTACACCAAGGGAAGTAGGCATACAAGCTATTCCATAATGAACTAGATACCTTTTCAGCTGATAGAGCATCAGTACATACATTGCTTATAAGTTGTGAGTTAACCTGTGAAAAGTAAAGCAACAATAGTAAGTAAATATTGTTGAGAAGGGAGACGTAATTAATAGTGAAGCAATCTCTTGTAATCAGATTTCAAAATCAATACAAAAATATAAGGTAATTAGCCATATTCATAAACATGGAAAACTACCAAGCGAAGCTCAAATAAGTACAAAAAAAAAAAAAGATGAAAAAGAAATCATTATGGGCATATGAAATAACTGCAAATTATCATGCAAGTTAAGATAGAACCAGGTCAAAAACACTAAAATGAAGAAGACAGTATTCTCCAAGCGCAGGCAAGAAATTATAGAAGAAGAGTATTAAAAGGGTACATAACCATCGAGGTTTTATATGTTATATGGTGAAGTAAATTTATATATGCATTTGTAGTGCGTTATGGTTTTCATACCTTACATATAGTGTCAAACCCGACATTTGCCTCGACAAACTGGTTTCTAAGGTCTCCATTCAGTGTTACGGGAACCCCAACCACCTGCCAGTAAATTCAAAGTTCTCAGCCATCAGGAAAAAATGGAAAAAAGATTAAGCACAAAATATAAGTATCGATGAACATGGCTCAAAAAGCAAATTATGAAGTTAGGCACCCATGAAAATCAGTTAAGGAGCCATGTTATGGCGTGAACTTACACCTAAAATGCATTGAAGCATAATCAAACTAACAAAGTTTATATGCAATATAAACTAAGGACCTGCAACATTCCGTAACATTTAGATACTCTGGCTTGTCAATACCTTTGTTGGACATTTTGAGTCTGCAAAAGTCTCAGCAAGCTGCGCAGCATCTGTGTTAGATGTAACTCCTTGAGAAGGAAAAAAATAATAGAGTCAGCTGCTTAAATTATACTAGAAAGAAAATAGTAGACAAAATCAAGAACTCGATCACCTCCAATTATAACAAGACCATCCAATTTCAGGGCTTCACATGCAGCCTTTGCTGCATTAACCTGCTCAATAGTCCGGATTTGATCAACAGTTCGTCCAAGCAAATCATAACCACCTTGAGAATTAAAAAACAGAGAATTTAAAATATGTTGAATGTCAAGATCATATAACTGAGAATCATCGAAGAATCTCTTAAAAAACCTTGATTCTTGTATGAGGAAAGAACTTCATCTGTTATCTTCAAGATCTTCTGTGCAAATAAGCCTTCAGTACCACCTATATGCATGGAGACGAGACGGAAAAAAAAAAAAAAAACAGATCGGGCATCATCAAAGCTGCACGTCAATATCCAGCAATTCACATTTCATTTATTTGCTTATAAATTAATTACAACATAAGTGTGCCTATCAAAATATTTGTTATTGAACAAAGAATATGTTGGGAATAAGAATGAGCCAAAACGATTAAGGAAATTACATGAATAAATTATTGGAATAAGTGAAAAGTTAGCAGAATGATTGTTCTTTAAAAACCTTAAGGGTTAGGAACAATATAACAAATACCTAGAATATGATAAGCAATTTTCATGGATGTGAAACATAACAACTATCTGATAGGGAATAGAAGCTCTTTTCACCAATTTCAGCTGATGAAACTAAAAAAATGAGGAGAAGAACACCCACAAACAAATTTTATTGAAAGATTATGCAAAGAAAAGCAAGATACAATGGGATCCTCAATTGGAGAGGAGGATCTGACTCTCCCAAATCTCTAGCCATCGACTAGAGCCCAAACACCCTAAGAACACTTAATTTTCCAGCAAACAAGCGATTTCCCAACCCTAGCAAAATTTTCCCCTTAAAGCATACGAAGGAAATCTCAAAATAGATCCCCCCCCCCCTCCTCTCTTAAATTTCCCTCCCAAACCGTATTAAAAACATCATTCCAAACAGCTAAAGATGGGGGACGACAATCACAGGGGCGGAACTCCTGTTCCGCCTCAGATAGACTTTGGTTGGCCCTGTATGGACCGGTCCAATGACGGGTCCAACAATACCTCCTTCCCAACGACCCACCTTGTCCTCAAAGTGGAAGAATGGAAATTGATATTTCATCCTCTCGTACGGCTCCCAAGTGGCATCATAGTCGGGTAGGTTCTTCCACTTAATCCAACACTTCCTTGATCCCTCCTTCACCCTTCATACCCCTTTCAACTCTAATGGTTAACACCACCTCTAGATACTTCGTCAGTGTTGCCGATAACTCTGAATTAGTTGTATGATCCCCAATAGCTCCCCTCAGCTGGGAGACATGAAACACTGAGTGTATGGTAGCGGTTCGGGGTAACCTCAATCGGTAAGCCACAAATATGATCCTCTCCAATATCTCGTAAGGGCCAAAGTATCTTGGTGTCAGCTTTTCATTTCTCCTGTGCACTAATGTCCTCTGTCTGTAAGGAAAAGCTTCAAATAGACCCTCTCTCCCACCTCAAACTGGATATCCTTCCTATGCCCATCTTCTAGTTCTTCATGATTTGTTGAGCCCTCTACAGATGCCTTTTTTATTCCTCCAACACCCTGTCCTGCTCCTCCAAATATTATTCCATAGAAAAAATTAGTGTGCTGCTCTACCCAAAATGCAGCAGGTGAGGTGGATACCTTCCATACAACAATTTAAAGGGAGTCATCTAGGATGCCGAATGATACGAAGTGTTGTACCAGTACTCTGCCCATGATAGCCACTTGGCCCACAATCAAGATGTCTTTGAAGAAAAACATCATAGGTAACTCTCCAAGCTCCTATAAACTACCTCTATCCACCCATCTTTATGAGGGTGGTAAGCAGTACTCCTCTTTAGTACTGTCCTCTGCATCTTAAACAACCCTCATGAAAATTGGTTTTCGAACTCTGAAATCTTCTCCACAATTTAATTTTGATTGGCATATCTCCCCTTCCAATACTTCTACTTTTCTTTTAGCCATAGGTACCCTGAATTGATGCTCTGATACCAATTTGATAGGGAATAGAATCTCTTTCCACCAATTTCAACGAATGAAACAAAAAAATGAGGAGAATGCCCCCAAACAAATTTTACTGAAAGATTATGCAAAGAAAAGCAAGATACGATGGGATCCTCAATTGGAGAGAAGGATCTGGATCTCCCAAATATCTAGCCGTCGACTAGAGCCCAAATACCCTAAGAACACTCAATTTTTCAGCAAACAAGCGATGCTCCAACCCTAGCAAATTTTCCCTCCAACACCCTATCCCGCTCCTTCAAATATTATTCTATAAACCGGTCTAGTCACCATTCCAACAATATTACTCAACATTAGTTGAAAATCAAACAATGCCTGCTTATGGGTGATATTTCGATGTATTATAGAAGAATGTGGATATAAACGATGGTGTACTCTTTAGAAGTAAGTTTGGGCGGCTAAAATGAAGAAGTTCCACATGAGTTTCTTGCAATAAGAGAATTTCACGAATAATTGAAATAAAAATTTTATGAAGTAGCAATTAGATAAGCTATCCTATGCAAATCAGAATGTTCGAATATGAGAAGTCAACAATAGCCAAGCTAAATGAAACAAAATTGACTATGTTAAGATTAATGTACAATAAAATTAAGATTGATAGGCTAAGAAATTATTATATAAGCGTATGGTGGAGTAACACCTGTTGATGATAAGGTAGCAAAATATTAATGTAGCATGTAAAAGATGCACCAATAAGATGGGTATATAAATTTAATGTACAAGAATTGAGAAGGAACATAGGCAGACTAAAAAAATTAATATAGCTATAGGTTGTGTAAAAGAACTAGGTTAATAGATTTTGCAGTTCAACTCTAAAAAGAAACGAATAGAAGATGAGGCTTAATGAAGCAAACCCGAAATAGTTAAAAAAAAGGCTAATGATGATGGTGATGATGACAAATACATAATAATTGGGCATAACAACTATTAAATAAAAGACCTTTCTTAAAAAATAATAATAATAAAGTGAGGAAAGCAAGCTTGTATTGAGAGGAGATAGAATATCATTCTAAGATTTTGGAAAAGTTTGAGTGATGCATTAATAGAAAAAAATGTATCCATCACCATCGTGCAAGAAAAATACATAACTGCAAAATATATATTTTACATTGTTCAGGTAACTATTCTTTCTATGTATTGCTCTTCGAGTATAAATATAAAACATCAACAAAATTATGGGGTTTGCCTTGAAAGATTGCAGTCTAAAAATGCAAAGGACTAAAGGAGAAATGGAAAAGACATGCAATAACATATGTATAGAAATCAAGAGTAGAAATACTTCAAAATGTACATCAAAATAAAGCCAAGGCTGGTTCACCAAGTCGCATTGATCACAATAAGCAAAATTTAAGTCAACTATACCGGTTAGGAAAGGCCAATTCGCCACATGTGGGCTCCGAAAATTCAGCCCCGGCCTCCCCGCCGCGCGATTTCTTTTTATTATCTTTATTTGGCGAGGGAGTTTTAACTGATAGGTTCCGGGGTAAATTTTGGAAGGCAGATGGGTTTGTAGATAAGACACTACCCAGAGATTTCGCCCTCATTTTGCGAGGACTTTATGATCTGAGTTCTGGTTTCCTATAGGCGCAAGCCCCTATAGTTAATTACCCCTCCCGATCACGAGAGAGAACTTTCGATTAAGGCTAGTCATCAATCAGATACGTATAGAAATACGTGTTATCTGGCATATAGTAGCAGCATGGGTTTTCGGTTTGGAGATTGGAGGATTTGATATTTAAATAGAAATTGCACCATCTTGCACTTAAAGCGGATGGTGGGGGAATGGATGATGGACCCGATCAAGATCCCATGGTTCCGTCATCATGGGCCATCATGGTCCCTGGTCTACTTAGTCAGAGGAGGTAGTCGACCCAACCTGACAGAAGGATCCTTGTCGACAGCCAGGGGTTGCTTCGTCCAAGGGGACCTTGTAGACCTGGGTTGGATGTTTGTCTAAGGGGACAAATTTGAATCAACCTTAGCTGACAGAGGGCTTTGTGCCCTATCGATCATATCCTATTGATTCATATCTCAAGGATTTGATGCCAATAAGGAGCGTATTGGCTCTGGCCATAACCGGTATTTCGTGGTGCCATTTGGCGGCAAAACCACTCG